GTCTGAGTGGGAAGCCTTCTTCTTCTCTGGTTTAAATAATTAAAAGAATAATATTCCCCCTATAGATGTTAATATATTTGCATTTTTTTAACCCCTAAATGTGCAATATTCAGACTTTTTTTTAAGCCTACAATGAGAAATATTGAGTTTTTACCCTTCAAAGAGCAATATTTAGAGTTTTTGTTATCTTTAATGTGCAATATTTACAGTTTTTTTTACCCTAAGATGAACAATGTTCACAGTTTTTACCCTAGAACCTGCAAGATTTGCAGTTTTACCCTCCAAGTGTGCAATATTTAGTTATTTACCTAACCTTAACATGAATAATTTGTTTGTTTTTTTACCCTAAAAAAGTTGTTGTTTTTCACCCTACAATGTGCAATATTTACAGTTATTTACCCCTTAAATGTACATGATTTGCATTTCTTAACCTAAAAATGTTTAATATTTACAGTTTTTTACCATGCAATGTTTAAAATTGACATTTTTTACCCCTAAAATGTACCCTACAATATCTAATATTTACATTTCTCCAAGAAAAAGGCTCATTCTGGTTGTAAATAGCTCCTCAGCTGTGAACCAGACCCCCTCAGACCCTTTCCAGCCATCTGGGTGGCTCAGAAAAACGTTTTTTTACCCTGGAGAACAGCGTGTTGAGGCAGTGGACCTTCTGCCGCTCGGTGACGTAGGCGTAGTACTGCGTGATTCCCTTCAGAGTCAGCTCCTCCATCAGGTTTATCTCATAGGGCTTCTGCAGGTGCTTGGCCTTAAATGGGGGAGACAGCAAATTCTGAGGATTCCCCCCAAAAAAGGCCACCAGAGCCCCCTCCCACCACCCGGCTCTCACCATGAACTTCTGCACGCTGATGGGGAAGGTGGCCGAGTACAGCAGGATCTGCCGGTTCTTGGCCAGGAAGCTGATGATGTCCTCGATGAGCACCACAAAGTCCTGAGACAGCAGCTTGTCGGCCTGCGGGAGCATTAGAGGAAGCAGAGAGTTTCACTTTTTAATGCTTTTCTGCAGGAAAAATCTGAGCTGCTGCTGCTCCTCGGACAAAACTCACTAAAGAAACTGTGGCAATATGTAGAGAAACCGTCTTTTAAAGGGTTAAAAGCTGCTAAAAATGGTGAATAATCAATATATTAAAGAAGCAGAAGCAGACTGAATCATTTAAAATGAAAAAAATTATGATTTTCTGATATTTTCACAGCTGTTTTGTCGGTCAGACTGCGTACAGGATTTTGGAAACTTGAGAATCAGAATTATAAAGAGACAAATGTCTACTAACATTAGTAATCTAGTTGAGCTCATTTCAAAGTTTGGATTTAAATTGGGGCTCAAAAGTGGGAAAATCTGAGTTTGTTCTGAGTATTTTAGCCAATTTGGGAGAAATCTGGTGAGAAAAGATGTGAAAATTATCCAGAACGTGTAGGTTAGTTTGACAATTCCTCTCATTTAGTGGCTGAGGGCGTACATGATTTTGGAAACTTGTGAATCAGAGTTATTATGAGACAAATATCTGTTAACATTATCAATCTAGCTGATGAATTCGGCCTGAGGGGAGCAGAGAGGCTGAAGGAAAAGAGGCCCAGAGGATCCAGCAGCTTTACCTCGTCCATCACCATCATCTGGACCCGGTCCACCTTGGCCACGCCCTTTTTGATCAGGTCCAGGATCCTCCCCGGTGTGGCGATGACCACGTGAACTGAGGACAGGGCAGAGTAAAGCTGAATTAATCAGTCCCCCAAAGCTCCTATTGGAATGTCTAATCATTTAGACCTTTAGCAACTTTAAAGTCTAATTCAATCAACATGAAAATGACAGAAATGTGTCTCCTGACTGAGGCTTTTAGATCTGGTTTTAAATAAAAATGACTAAACTGGAATTTATCTGAGGTATAAGTAAATTTAAATATGATCAAAATTAGCAATTTTTTTAAAAGTACAAACTGCTAATAAAAAAAAGAAATTCAGCAAAGTAATTAAGGTTAACGGTTAATGTTGTAATAAGTTTTTGTGGTGATATTTGCTAATAAAACAACTATGGAGGAGAACATTTTCATTTTTAATTTAATGTATATTCTTTTGAATATTTTAAAATTTAATTTGTTGTTTTAACTGCAATATTTTAAATTTTTTTAAATCAATTTTACATTTGTCAAAATCAATTAATTATTCATTTTTACACACCGTGTTCATTTATTTTGTAAATATTTTTTAAATTGTATTTTATTGATGGATGCTTTTGCTTCCATTTTCTGTTTTATGTCCAAGTTTAACCTCCTGAAAACATCAGCATTTCCAATTAAAACAGAGAAGATAAAGCAAATCCTTTTGCTGTTGCCTTTAAAACACTTCTACCATTTAAAAACTTTAGTTTTTAAATAGTAGAAACTGCTAATAAAATACATTTTTCAAAGAAAATAATTATATGCACTCTAATAAGTACATTTTTATGATGATAACTGCCAATAAAAAATAAATATCATGGAAAACATTTATTTCTATATATTTAATAGCCATTTTACTTAATTTTTCTAATTTCTTATTTAATGTTTTAACTGAAATATATATAATATTTGTGATCAATTTTACATTAATAAATTATGAATTATTTTTACACTGTTTTGTATTCAATATTTCTTAAATTTAATTTTATTGGTGGATGCTTTTGCTTCCATTTTACAGCTCATGTCCAAGTTTAACAAACAAGCATTTCAGATTAAAGTAGAAAGTATTTTGCTGCTGCCTGTAAGGACTTTAGCAGCCAGTTTTTGTTACCGGTCTCGTCCAGGCGCATGATGTCGTCCCTCAGGTTGGTGCCACCGGTGGTGGCCATGACCTTAACTCCTCCCAGGTGTTTGCTGATCTGGATGCTGATCTGGCTCACCTGCAGCGCCAGCTCGCGTGTGGGTACCATGACGATGGCTGCAGGCAAAAGCAGAGGCTCTGATAGGCTGTCGGGGGGGTGGGGGGGCGGCGTGGTGCCGACGGCTCACCCTGGATGTGGTCCTTCTTCAGGTCTATCCTCTCCAGGAGGGGGATCAGGTAGGCGCCGCTCTTCCCCGTCCCGTTCTTGGCTCGGGCCAGGATGTCCCGGCCCGACAGCGCGATGGGGATGCTCTCCTCCTGAAACCAGAGAAAATCTTTAGGACTCACTGCTCACCAGACTCAGATCTCCTCAGTTTTCAGCCAGCAGCTCTTTGGGAATCCTCAGAAATCCTGTTTCCTGTCTGTCAGACTGTGTTTTCTTTGGCCTTTTTCCTCCATCAGCTACAGAAATGGAACAAATGATGTGTCTGTGTGACAGGCTGCTGCTAATAAAGACCCTAAAGATCCACCTTAAACTGCTGCTCTGCTGATTGGACACAACACCGGCTCAGCCCTTGAGTTAGGGGCCTCTTTCTGACTCAACAAATATTAAAACTGGACTTAAAATGAGTGAAAAAGTAGAAAATGTACCAGCGAAAAACTCTGAAATGCCTCAGAAATCCTTGATAAATGTCACTAATGAACACTTTAAAGGACGCTTGGCTGCTTTGAGGGAAAATAGGAAGAAATATAAACAAAGATCATTTCCACACTGGTGAACACATCAAACTGCTCTCACTTATGGAAGATTTTTCTCTGGTTCTGATGGAGGTTTTCCCTCCGACAGTCCCCTTGTGCACAGAACAAGACTTAGAACAATCTGCAGGTTCCCTTAAAAAAGAATCCTTTTTTTTCTTTTTAAATTAACTGAGTGAATTGGACCAATTTGGCATTTACTTAATGAGATTCAAATAAATGGATTCTGCCTTTTGTGTGACTGGAAACAGAAACTGGGAGGGTGTTGGTACCTGGATGGGTGAGGGTTTCTCCCAGCCCATCTCGAAGATGCCCATCAGGAGCTCCCTTTTGAGGCAGTAGTCTTCGAACTCGTTCCCCTTGGTGGCTGTGACGTCCTGCAGTGAACAGGGAAGTGAACAGGGCAGTGAGCAAGGCAGTGGGCAGGGAAGTAGATACCCAGAATGCACCACCAGGACCAGCCACGGGACTCACCGAGGTTCTAACTCTGTTGTCTTTGGGGGGGAGGTGCAGGCTCCTTTTCCAGTCGTCTCCGAACTTGATACCTCCCGCCTCCTGAGGGGCGCCGCCTGCCCTCTGGGGGGCGCCACCCGCCTTCTGGGGGGCGGCCATTGCCTTCCCCGGCGTGGTCGGCTGGACGGGGCCGGCCTTGCTCTGCCCTCGGAGCTGCCCGTTCTGCTTGTTCAGTCCCACCACCACCGGGCCCACGCTCTCTGTCCTGGCCGTTGCCATTTTTCCTGACTTTTTTTTCTGTTTTTTATTCCCAGTATTAAGATTTTTACTTCTTAGGTTGTTTTTTTTGTTTTTAAAAAATTCTCTCAAGTAAAAAAAACGACAAAAAAAGTTGAATTAAGCATTAACAAAGAAAATTCTCTACCCTTAATCTGCCCCAGCCTTCACAACAAGTGGATTGGTAGTATTTACACATGCACTCGGTCCCCTTCAACAGCAGAGTGACTGACGCACAACAACAAAAAGAGTTTATACACAAGAGCTCTTCAAAATGAAGAGAAACATGCATTCATATGCATGAATTTACCCGTCCACTATATAGAAAAATTATATGTGAACGAGTAGGAAAGCGGTTCCAGTCCTGAAATAGAACAACTAAGGCAATCTGCACTTGGGGAATAGATTCTTTTATATAATCTCAGTTCAATACTTCTCTGTCTAAGTTCAGCAATGTGTCTCGTTTCCGACTGGAGTCCATAAGAGCTGCTCAGTATCCCTGTTCCTGAAAAAAGGGAAACAGGATGTCCCACTTTGTACAAGTTTTTCCCCAAAAAACGATGCAGTTTGTGACCGTGTTTATCTCCACTGAGCGGGGAAAAGTCGCTCCATGTGTGGGGAAACAAAGATCCAGTGGGGGCAAAAGAGCTTTTCCCCCCGGTTGGGTTCAGTTTGTGCTTTCTTTTCTTTTTGGACGCCACAGGTTTTCAGCCTGGTCTGTGAACTGTGAGAGCACGGCGCCGTCCAACCCCCGGCCTCCAAAAAACAAAAAAACAAAACAAAAAAATACTCCCGCTCGACAACAAAAACGTTCCACCTAAAGACAAAAAATAAATCAAATTTACTATAAATACGCGCTATTTGGAGTATCAGTGATCCATCTGTAGAATTTACTAGTTTAAAAGACCCAAAATGTTTCCAATAAATTTGTTTTATCTGACAAAACGTCCCAACAGATTATTATTTAATTTATATTGTAACACAAAAATGTGAGTCAGCAAAATTATCAGAATTGCATAAATAAATCTGTTTAAATTTGTGAAAATGGAAAAGTTCCATCAAATCCACAATTTAATATACAGTTGTTGATTCTTAAGCTACAATCAGCAGGTCAAACATCACTAATCTAAGTTTTACCACATGTCTAATTTCAGGTTAAACGTGATTTTTTTCCATTCCGTCCTTTTCAGTCTAATTTTATTTTAACACATTAGGGTTCAATCATTCTATCAAAAGCAGGTGATATTCTCATATTTATAAAGCTGGTAAATTATTTGTGATTTATTTGGGCTCCTAACAAGCTACTGGCCTTCGTGCTAACTGAGGAAACCTGGCAGGAGCGTTCAGGGCAGGTTAAACTGACGGATTAAGCTGTTACCTAAACGAATGGCAGCAACTTTAAGCTGCTGACGTCTCATCAAAACAACTTCACGTCGAGTTTATGACCGCAAACCGCTGTTTTTATTTAAACCAACAACCTACAGGAAAGGGGCTCCAAAAAGCCTTTTACGATCAAGTAAAAACTATATCTTAAAACAAGTAAAATAGTGTATTTATCTTATTTGTGTGACAGCGCGTTTAACGTGACGTTACAGCTGCGTGTCAGAGGGAAACATTAGCTCCGTTGGGCTAACTGAGTTAGCTTACACAGCTATAACAAACCGACACGCAGCAAAACTCCTGACTTTTAACAAGCTCCTGCTTTGACGAATTTCTAAATATGTGTTTAGGGTTCAAATACCAAAAATGCGATCGAAATTAGATCAGAATTTTTTTCCATTTACACTCTAAAAGAGCTAACATGCTAATTAGCTTCGAAGCTAGCTTAGCAAAAATAAGTCCTGCGGCTAGCGTTAGCTTCCTGCTAATCTGCTCCCGATTTTCTGGGTGTTTTTACAGACAGATGACGCCCCCAAGTTTCCAGAAACGTACCTTAATTTTTTCGTTAATTTATAAGCAATGCTCAGCGTACGGTGGTTCGACAACTCTTTTCTGAATTCGTTGGAAATTTCTTGAAATAAATCGCGTCTATTGTGTTTCTTCTTCCTTTAAATCAACATGGTCGCCTTCTTCTTCGCTCCCTCTTCCTCGGTGTCGCCCTCCTGTTTATGCTACGCCGCATTGGCGCCGCTGCTGCCCCCCTGCGTCCATACCTGGTTACTGCAGCTCCGGGAGGAGGGAGGCCTGTACCGGAGCGGTGGCGTAATTAGCTTTTTTCAGCTCATAGATTCTGCTGTTTTTGGGACATTTTGCGAGAAATATAACTAAATATTTATGTTTTTCTACCTCTTCTGCAACACTATGGTGAGTAATCTCCTTTTTCAGAAGCAGAGGTTAGTTTAATGAAATTACTCCTCAGTTCTAAGTGGAAAAAGTCAGAAATCCTACAGATGTGTTCAGTAGCTTCAGTGAAATTAAAAACGATGAGTTTCCGGAGCCAGAAATGACAAACTGTGAGTGTTCTGCTCCATTTGTGTCCTGAAGTACAAAATATCCATAAAAGACCAATAAATCTATGAGGAACGCTGACATTTATCTGATTATAAAGGATGCAGAGGCACACAATAACTGAAAATGACAGGAACTCTGTGAAAGTTCAGCTTAAACTGAGTAGAAGAAAAAGGATCTGGGCTCAGAAAGGAGCCTCAGAGCTCACAGGGGTCAAATCTGGATGTCTGGGAGCTCAAAGTGTGATTTTTAGGAGCAGAGCTTCATTAAAAGCATCAGGACTCTAACAGATCTGCTGTGATTTCTCCGTTTCAGGACTTATTTATCAGACTGACCTCCATCTGCTTCACTCAGACAGAAAGAGGAATCAGCTCTGTATCATTTAGCAGCTCTGAGGCTCTAGAGCACCAGAACCAGGTTTTTACTGGTCAGTCAGCAGGACAGGTTTTTCTACTTCCTGTTTACTGACCAATAGGAGAGAGCTGACCCTCTGGGCTCATTTAATTGGTGGATATTCAGCACATTTATGCATAAACATCGTAAAAAGTTTGGTTTAACTATAACATAATTAATTATTTCTCCAGAAAGTGGAATCAGCTCTTGTTTTTGGCTCTGATCAAACATTCACCACCTGATACCAACATATCTGTTATGTTTATAGTAATTATGGATGCTCTTTACTTGTTATAATCTGATCATTGTCAGCTGTACAAGCCTCTAAAGTATCTGTGAGGTGGCTCACTCTGTCCCAGGTATTATTTCATTGAGATTTTTACATAGTCTGCCTTCACTTTTGTGTTTCATCGAGAAATAACAGCTCACAGAAAGGGGGACAGCCCCCCATAAAGTAACTCCACAGCTTCCCAAAGCCTGAATCAAACACAAACAGCTGGTGGTTTGGATTTATTACAGGCTTTTCATGTAACAGCTCCGGGAGATGCCTCCCCGCTCACATCCAGAGACGGCTGGCCAGCAGCAGCTGAAGGCCTCCTTCTGATCGACAAATACTAATCCAGCATTCAGAATAACACACACTGTTTCGGCTGCTTTTCAGCAGGAAAAAAATCTGAGCTGCTGCTCTTTAGAAAAAACTCACTAAAGAAACTGTGGAAATGTGTAGAGAAACCGTCTTTTAAAGGGTTAAAAGCTGCTAAAAATGATGAATAATCAAAATGTAAAAGAAGCAGAAGCAGACTGAATCCTACAAAGTGATAAAAATGACGGTTTCTGATATTTCACAGCAGTTTTGTTGTGTTCGCCGACCTACTGCGTGCAAGATTTTGGAAACTTGAGAATCAGAGTTATAGTGAGACAGATATCTGTTAACATTATTAATGTAGTTGAGCTGAGTACAACATTTGGATTTAAATTAAGGCTCAAAAGTGGGAAATTCTGAGTTTGTTCTGAGTATTTTAGCCAGTTTGGAAGAACTCTGGTGAGAAAAGAGGTTAAAAATGACCCAGAACGTGTAGGTAAGTTTGACTGTTCCTCTCATTTAGTGGCTGAGGGCTAGAAGCTGGTGTGTTCAGAAGCAACACAAATACTGATCAAACATCAGAACAACACACACTGTGTGTGTCTGGGATGTGTTTCCTGCTCAAGCAAAGCTTTGCTCCTGGTTTCCGTCTGAGTAACTTCAGTTAAAGGCACTAAACGGGGGCTGAATCAGGCCTCCTGTTGGTCGCAGTTTGTCGGTTTAGTTAGCGCTCTGGGCGCCGCTTCGCTCCGGTTAAAGTGCAGCGTGTCTCCTCCAGTCCACAAGGTGGCGCTCCTCCCTGGGAGTGTCAGCTCTGTGTCTCCGGCCGCTTGTGGGCGGCTCCCCTTTCGAAGATCTCCCTAATTCGCGCCACGCAGATGTCGGCGGCGGCCTGCGTCTCCTTGCAGATCTGGGACAGGCTGAGGAAGCCGTGGGGGAGGTCCTCCACCACCGTCAGGGTCACCGGCTGCTCCATGGCGCGCAGCTTCTTAGCAAACATCACCGAGTCGTCCAGCAGGGCGTCCAGAGCAGAGGCCTGAGAGCACACAGGCAAAGTGAGCAGCTGGGAAAAGGTCTGGGCTCCAAGGAGCCTCAAAACGGGAGCAAATCCAACATTTTATCATAATTTCAAAGCAAAAGGATGGAGGACAGATATGTGCAGAAATCAAGAAAAGCTTCAGGTTCAGCTTTGCATCCTCAGAATAAATTCAGCTTTTAGCTCCTTGGCTAAAAAAATGACAGAAAGGACACTCGGCTCGTCTGCAAATTACAGCAAACGGATGCAAAGTGACACTGAAGATTCTCAAAAAATGATGCAAAAGTCTGCAAATGATCAGGAAAAAGACCAGAGAAGTTTAAAATATGAACACACAATCTGTCCCCAACGGCCCCCACAAAGTAACAAAACTTTAAAAACTGTAGGGAATTAGATTAGATGGGAGATGAGCATTAGGTCCAGCCTAATTTCTCCTCATTTCTCTGTTATTACTTATCTGTATTTTAAAATGCTGCTAGAATTTTGTACTGGTCACTTTAAACAGTTGTTCACTACTTTATTAGCATTTATGTTCACCCTGAATCCTAAGTGTTGCACAGCACTTTCCCCTCAGGATGAATAGAGCTTTTTGAACCTGGACTCTCTGAATTAAAGCTTCCTGCCCCAGAGCATCATGGGAAATGTCTCACCACTATGTGCACCGGCGGCAGGCCTCTCAGCAGGCTGGCGGGCGCCAGCAGGGGCGAAACGAACGGGTTCCTGATCACCGGGCAGGCGATCGGATGGACCATCGCCAGGCTCTCGGAGCGCAGGGGCGCAAAGCCTTCTGGGTAATGAAGCAGGTCCGCAGAGTCTGGCGAGGAGGAGGGGGCAGGCGGCCTGGCGGAGGCCCTCCCCCGCGGGGAACCGGCTCCCCCTGAGGTCCGGTTGGGGTCCAGGAAGGACTGGAGCCAGTTGGAGGCCCCCTGGGTGAGGTCGCTAAGCAACAGGGCCGTGTCCCGGCCCAGAGCGCTCAGGCTGCCCCTCCTCTCCACCGGCTCCAGGGTCTGGAAGTCTGACCCTGGAACAGAGACCAGGTCCGCTTACAGCACGAGAACCAGAACAGCTCGGGCCTCCAATTGGATGGGAGGCCCCTAAACCTCCTGAGATCCTTAAAGCTATTATCTGGTTCTGCTTTGTTCCAGATCTAATAACTAGAATTTGTCCTGGTACAGGTAGTTTTTCCTCATAGAACCTCAGAGGGTTTATCTTTCGATTTAAAATGTCTGTATAAAGATTTAAATACATTTGGTTCTGAGGGTCAGAATGACTTATTTACAACATTTTAATTCCACAATAAGAACATGATTGGTGTAAAAAAGCATTTTCCTTTAGATTAAAACAGTAAAAAAAGCAGTAAAAGCTCAGATGTCTGAGCTCTTTGAACACAACAATGATTTCCCTTCATCTATAGACCTAAAAAAGCTAAATTTTGAATGATTTTACAGAGATTTCCCCTTGTTTCAGTATGATATTAAGCTTTTTTTTCTCTAGCTTGAAAAACGTCATGCATGATGTCAAACCACTCGTTTAGCTTTGGGATTTGGGGGCGGAGCCCCTTCCTGGCGATGGCTTTCCTGGCTGCTGCACTCATGATTGAAATAAATATTTAGTTTTATTTGTCACATTATCACCAGGAAGCAAACCTGGATGCGCTGATTTCAGTGGAAATGGTGCATTTATGATTTAAAATTATATGGACTTGACTCCTAAATGGTCCAATCAGAGGGAGGCCCAGGGTACATCCCTTTGACCTCCATTATTGTCAGGTTATCAGATAAATCCTGCTGATCTGTGCCTACCTGCATAGGCGTTGAGGCACTTTGCCAGGACACCTAAAGGCAGCAGGGGGTCGATGAGCGTGAGCAGGCGGGAGGGCGAGGCGTCCGTGGTGAGCAGGGTGGCGGGGTAGGCCGCCATGATGCCGTCTGGCGGGCGGATCCCGGAGGTCAGGGCCCTCATGGAGACGGTAATGCAGAGGTTTCCTCCGGCGCTGTCCCCGGCCAGACAGACCCGCTCGGCCGTGGAGCCTGGACCAGAAAGCAGAGCAGGAACACAGTGAAGACCGGCTGGAAAACTGGAAAAACTGGAAAAATGGTTGAATTATGACTGTGTTTACACAAAGCTCTTCATCTGAACTGAACTGGGAGGTTTCTCCTTGAAAAAAAGACATTATGAGGTGTCAAATGGCAGCGTCCACTAAGGGTGACACAGTAATTTGAGCTCAGTTTTAGTTTAGTCTCACTTCTTTTGGTACAACATCTCCTCATAATCCTCCTACAAGACTATGGGTCAAACCATCCAGGAGTACATCCACTATAATCAACACCCATTAATATTTAATACACATTTACAGCAGACACACTAAACACTTAGTTGCATAGCTCCTTAAGGCTTTACTCCATCAAAATAACCAACAACTATATAAAAAATACAACAGCAAACACTCTTATTTAACCAATCTCCCCCCTTTCTCCTCAAGCCAGCCGACCAATCAGACACAGCAGGCCCTCGTCAGCCCAGTCCAAGCCTCCTCAGAGAGGGAGAGAAAGGTTAAACGCAAACCCAAAACATACTGAAAGTAAATTAAATAGAACAAATTAGGGATGGGACGGTTTCTGAAAACCGTCCGAACCGTTCGGTTCGACTGTCTCGGTTCGGTTCGCGTGTGTACCGCACGGTTCATGCACTGCTCCTTTTTCTCAGAGGGAAGCGTTTACACTCCAGAGCAGAAGGGGGCGCTACTGCGCCCAAAGCCAACCACCAGTAGTAAACAAGAAGAAGAAGCGAAGCAGCGTAGCCGATAAAAATCAGACGCACCTACAGCAGTTTCTAGGTCTGCTGTATAGACCTCTTTGCATTTAGAGTCAAGCACATGTTGGAATTAGCACTATTTCCTCGCTTGCAATGCCAGAATCTCGCCTATTTTTAACCTAAGACTGTCACAATAATGTATCAAATGTCAGACTGCTTTTTTCTTTCAGTTTTAACTAGGGATGGGGATCGAAACCCGGTTCTATCAAGGACCCGGTTCCACTTTTTTCAAAACCCGAAAATCAATAACGTTTGGGCTTATCGATACCACTATCGAGTCTGGTCGTTTTTTTATTATTACAATAGTAATTGTGAAATCTGTGTTGTAATTGGCAGCATACAAGCTAGTTAGCTTGAAAAGTAAATAAAGTTTCAGACGTGCTGCGTGATGATGTGTTCAGATTGACTCAGTAAAACGACAATTAGGTTATCATGATGCGTTCAAGTGTAACGTAAAGAAAAGGGAAATTGAGTTTTTGGCGAGAAACATGAGTAATACAGTTGTATATTGCTCTAATTATTTTAGAATATATAATTAAACTACTGATGCCAACATTTATTAAAAATTACATTTAATTTAAAATACAATTATTTATTTGTTAAATATTGTCGCATCGTCTTTCCACCAAATAACAGAAAATTATCGATAGTGGTATCGATAAAGACTCGGATCGATAAGGAGTATCGATAAAAGTATCGATATCAATAAATATTAACGATCCCCATCCCTAGTTTTAACCTGACTATACAAGACATAATAGATTTTCCTACCAATCACCATGTACCGAACCGAACCGAAAACCGTGACCACAAAACCGTTAAACGAACCGAACCGTGGATTTTGTGAACCGTCCCACCCCTAGAACAAATAGATAAAAACAGGGTGTCTGACAAAAAGACTGGGCGCTTGCCAAGTGAGGGGAGTGTCTCCAACCCCCTCACAGAACACCCAAATAGCACAAGTGAGTCCTTTTCAGAGAGGCTTCAGGTTATTTGTGCCCTTCATTCTCCATCAGAGGAGGAAAGATGGACACAGAGGCACCAGCAGCCCATCCAGGCCAGCAGGGGGAGCTTGATGGAGGGGGATGGAGGGAGCTCTGCTGGCCTGAGGCCTCCTGGCTCTCTCTCCGGCAGAACCCGGCCTGACAGACGGACTGAAGGACGTCTTGTTCCTCCTGAGTCAGATGAATGAAGCCCTGCTCGCCTTCGGCCTTGGCCAGCCCAGCGCCGTCTGACTGAGTCTTGATGTGGGACAACAGTCCGTCTGCTTTGTGCTTTTTCTGGTAAAACAACTTCAGGGAATGTCAGGGACTTCAGGGAAATCTGCAACAGCTGGCATCCTCAGTGCAACATCAGGCTTTTTCCTCAGAGAAACAAAGACTGATCAATTAAAACTGGCTCTCCTCCACTGAGAACCTGATCAGAAACACAGGATAGGACATACAGGGACTTATTTGTAACTTATTTAGTATACAGCAGGCCAAAGGGGGCAAATTCAGGGCGTTTTACACCTGCAGCCTTTGAAATGAACCCATATCTGGGTTTTCTCTGAGTCCAAACATGACCAGAGGCTATAGTTGTGACCCGGATGGTCATCGGTTTGAACCCTGCTACCTCCTGGTGAGTCTCGGAGGGTAAACAGAACACTTTGAGTGTTTAATGTAGTGGCAAAAATCTGTTTACGGCTAAACAAATGAAATTAGTTCATCATGTACCCGGTAATCGAAACACACAACAGCCTGAAAAGTTAAATGTAAACAAATCATTTCCTTGTGTTTGTGTTCCTTCACATACTTTGTTATAGTTAGAATGATGTTACTGATTCATTTGGTCAATTGATGATTCCAACACTGTTGGTTTAGTTTGAAACTTGTGAAAGATTCAGGGAGTATAAACCCTCAGAAAGGACAGAAACAAGGTCAATCAGCCACCTCAGAGCTGGAAAACATTAACAAAAAACAGGTTCTGTTACAGAAAAGTCCCTCAGAGATCTGGACCAGCTGCTCTGAGCAGGACATGAAACCCAGAACAGAAACTCTGAAGATTCACTGAAGAATTTGGCAGATTTTCTAAGATGAAAACACTGAAAACTTTCTCCAGAAAGATAAAACTCCATCATTTCAGCTCCTGCGAAGCTTTAAAATTGACTGCAGACTGATAGGACGATAAATCAGGTCCAGAAAGAGGCCTTTTAGGATCCATCTGGTTCAGAAAGAGGCCTTTTAATGTCCATCAGGACCAGAAAAAGGCCTTTTAGGGTCCCATCGGGTCCGATGAAGGCCTTTAAGGGTCCATCAGGTCCAGGAAAGGAGCCTGATCCTCATTTCAGAATATCTTAAGGGGCTTTCTGCTCCTCAACCGATACCTGGAGCAGAAACCAGCTGGTCTCAGAGGACAGAAACGGCTTCACTGAGTCTTCAGACTCCGCATTCCTTTTCTTTTATGAAATTGATGAAGCTGTTAAGTGAAAAACACTACAAATAGTTTCTGTGAGCTTATTCCTGTTAAACAAGTCTTCAGCTTTGCTGCATTTCAGACTTTGCACCTATTGTAGAATCCAGAATAAAAATCTCCTGACAGATTAAACCACCACAGACCTGTCTTCACCCTCTCTTACAGCTAGGAGCTGCTGGGTGTTTGATCAGGTGTCTTAAAACAGGGAAACCCTTCAGAGGGGAAGTGGGAGCATTAGGGCTGCTGACTCGTGCACTGACCCAGCAGGTGGCAGTTGATCAGGGCCCAGCAGTAGGCGTAGAAACACTCCTCCAGAGCTCTGGGAAAAGGGGCTTCAGGGGACAGCGAGTAGTCCACGGACAGGATGGGGACGCCCAGCTCCTTCGACCATCCCCGCAGGTAATTCTGAAACACAGTGAGCTCACCGTCATTTTGTTCCACGGCTAGTTGCTGCTTTGGGGGCCAAAGAGGTCCGGTTAAAGCTTGCTCTGTACCTCGTGGGACCGAGACGTTTGGGCCACAAAGCCGCCTCCGTGGAAGTGGACGATGAGCCAGGGGGACCGAGGCTTCTTCTGGACCCAGGGCAGCCGGGAGGCGGAGGGGGGGGCAGGGTCCCCACGGGCCAGGGTGGCCATCGCCTCACTGTCCTGCAGAGTGGGAGAGTGGGAAATGTCAGCCGCCACCAGCCACTGCGGGCTGGTTCCTGAGGGGTTAACTCTGCTGGCCACGCCCTCCACCACGGTGAGCCGGCTGCTCCAAAACAGGACGTCTTTACCTTCTTATCTTTGCTTTCACATTCACATCGTGTCTTTCAATAATTTATTTCTCTGTTCTGAAATGTGAGAACTTAACTTATGGAGGCACTTCTTCCATAATTATTTTAGGGATATAATTACATGAAACACAAAAGCTGTCAGTTGTTTTTGGTAACTTTTAAACGTAAAAAGTATATTTATAACTTTTTTATATTTATTCATAATATTTTATACAATGAAATATTATATGTATTTATTCATTACTTTATTATTTTTTAATTAATAATAATTGCATAATATTATCTTTTTAATATTTTACACATGTATTAATTTATTACATTTATTTAATTTATCATATATTTTTTTTATTATCTAATTTATTTATTTAATAATTGTATGTATTTATTTATTACTTAGTATTATATTCCTTACATATTTATCATATTTTATAATATTTTTCTAATATAATATTAAGAATTTACATTTTAAAATGCTAATTTTCATTTTATTTCTCATTTATATTCTATTTATTTATAATAATTTCATAATATAATTCTGTTATTTTACCTGCCCCTCTCTGAGCTCATGGGAGATCAGTCGCATGTGCACGGGCCCGGGGCCCCAGTGGGCCACTGGGGGGGACACAGTGGTGGACAGCCTGGGGTCCGAGGCCAGGGGCAGCTGCAGAGGCACCGGGGGCACGCTCAGGGTGAAGTTCACCTGCACGGGGCTGGAGGCGATGCGGCTGAAGCCCTGCGTAGAGGAGAGGGAGGGGGTGGGCAGGCGGTGAGCTCTCAGATCAGCCCAGATCTTGCAGCTCCCCTGGGCACACACACAGCGTTTGACCCTGCCTACTGAGAGAATGTCGGACTCGGTGACGTTCCAGAAGGACTTCCAAAACTGCATGTCCAGGTTCTGGGTGATGCGCTCGAACTCGGCGCCGCGCAGCTCCGGGTCGATGACGTACTTGCCGGACTGGAGGAGGGAGAGGGCGGCCTTGCCTGCAGGGGGACAGATGTCACAGTTGATCACAGACCACACAGTGCTGTCACTATTAGTCCAAGATGAAAATTTAAGTCCATGGATATTTTTTTCGTCAGTGACTATTTCTTTTGTAAGTCTGTTTATCGCTTATTTATTTTTTGTCTGAGCAAACGGCTCATCTGAGTTCATGTCATTTCGCTTTAGATTAATTTAGTAATTCATATAATATATATTAATATATATTGTTATTATTACTGTTATTATATATTAATATATATATTAATATATATATTAAATTAATAAATTTTGTTTTGCTGTGCGCGCACCGCTGGCAAATTGTCTCCCGTTTCCTCGCCTGTCACGAGCTGCTGTTACTGTTGGTTCTGGTTTTGAGCCTGATACGAAAATGACTGCAGCCAGTGAGTCTGAATCAAGGACGGAGACGTCTGCTAGAAGACCAAAAGTATACAAAGTATGGGAATACTTTAGGGCAGCTGGTGATAGAGAGGTTTGAACTCTGTAAGACTTTGTTGGCTCATCACGAGAGAAAAAACGGTATGCACAAGCAAATTAAAAGGAAACACACAGGAGTTATTCAAAAGAGTTATTATTTTTGTAAAATAGAAGAAATTCTCACATTTTATTTTGTTTATTACATTTTATTTCATTTATTAAATATTTATTTCATTGATGTTATGTTTACTTTTGACACACAGGGGACATTTTATGTTTTGGCCCTTGAGTTGCAAAATAAAAAACTCAAAATTAAGTTAAAAACAAAAATAACTCAAATGAAATAGCAATCCCTTGATTTTTTGGAAAACTAGTAGTTAAGATTAGTCCACTGATTGAAAAATTTGTCAAAAGAGTAGTTGTTAGAAAATGAATCATTAGTGGCAGCCCTACAGACCAGTGGACAGGAAGTGGCTACTGGAAGTTTGGCTCCCAGACTCACCAATCCCAGACTGATGCTTCCCGTACGTCTCTCCGTATGAAACCATGGCGATGACGATGGTCTGCAGGAAGGGGCGGAGCGCAGGGTAGAACTGTGGAGGCGAGCAGAGCACACCCGGCTGTGAAAGGCCTGGAAACAATTTGATGAAAATGTGCAATTGCGATTATTGTGGACTGCACTGCGATTTGCGATGATATAAATGAAGGGTGTCATGAGTCTGTGTGCTTGAACATCAAGGACAATTACAATCATTTCATATATTTTTCAACTGAAAACATACAAACATGACACAAAAGAATACAAAACCTGGACTTAACAGTACTGTATTAAAGCCGGTTTGGGTTTCACTGTGCTCCACAACACTGAGATAGTCCCGTTCATTGTCATATTTGTGCTGATATGCCTCTATTTTCATGTAGGCTATGATCAATGTCTGTATTTTTCTAAATGTTAGATAAAGAGTTTCTTTCTTTATTTTTTTAAGAGAGAATCCTCTTTATGTTTACAGAATCACAAATCGCAGTCTGTTATGCGATTACATAATTGCACAGCATGACATGGCAATTGCGAATGGATTAATGGTGTAACACTACTGGAAACGCCCCCTTTCCCCCACCAGGCCGTCCTGGAGGATCCACAGCTGACCTGGAAGCCCAGGCAGCGTCCGTAGAAGCAGGCTTTGTGCATGGAGCTGTACTCCTGCACAAACCTGCGGCTCAGCTCGCCGTCCTGCTGCGTGTACAGCTGCTGGTGCTCGTTGTCGCTCATCAGCCTCTGGGCCAGGTGCAGCAGAGCCCGCAGCTGGCACAGGGCGCTGCAGTAGGCCTCCATCTCCAGGGCGTTGTGGTCGGCCCTGAAGAAGGCGCCGTTGTAGTTGGAGGCGATGTACCGGCCCTTATGGACGATGTGCAGGAGGCACGACAGCAAAACCTGGCGAGAGCCACAGATCTGACATCAGGGGAGGCCATTAACCCCCCGGTCCAAAGTCTGAACAAACCCTCTAAATGTCCTTATGGGGAGGACACGCCCACACAACACTGGTTCATCCCTTGAGTTAGGGGCCTTTTTCTGCATCAAGTGGCTCAACAAACATTAAAACTGTACTAAAAATGAGTGAAAAAGTAGAAAATATCCCTACAAAAACTCGGAAAGACCTCAGAAATCCTGGATTAGTTTCACTAAGAACCTTTTGAAGGATGTCTGGCTTCTTTGAGGGAAAATATATATAAATATAAAGAATATAAAGAAACATAAAGAAATAAAAGGTGGCTGAAGACTTTTTAAACTAATCTTCATCCTTCAAATTCAACTTTAAACTGCTGCTCTGCTAGGTTGGACACAACACTCGCTCATCCCTTGAGTTAGAGCCCTCTTTCTGCTTCCAAACTCCAGTCGGTTTGCTTCTTTACTCCTCTGCGTCCTACCTTAACCAGCGTGCGGTAGCCATTCCCGGGCGTCTCAGCATCGAAGTCGTAGTGGTGGTAGACGGTGGTGAAGCTGGCCACCACAGGCTTCAGGGCCCGGCTGTGCTCCTGGATGGTTTTCATGCATGTGACCAGGCGCTGGGTCACGGTGCCATAAGGCAGGTCGGAGGGCCCACACAGCACAGCGAGGTTGTCTTCGCACACTTTGTCCAAGGCTGCGAACACGACTCTGTGGTCCATTCCTGAGGCTGTAGACGGAAGAAGAGACGGAGCTGTTGAGGCCTGTTTATATCTGCCTCAGTGGCTCATGTGATGAGCGCGGCCCATCGATCACACCGGCCTCAGCAGTCCTCCCTGCATGCTGATTGTGCTGTACTAGTGTTATCTGCCTGGTCAAGGGTTAAATTCCAGAGCAGCCCGAAGGCAGAACTTTGGAAGCAGCAGACCAGCTGACTGATGCCATCAAACAGAGGAAGTAATTAGAAATACAAACACCAACAGGATCCATGTTGCACAGCCAGTGTGTAACTCCCCACTGAACGGCCTTATTCCGCAGGACTTATCTTTAAAGGTTACTAGAAATAACTGATGTTTTTCATGTGAACACAGATTTTCAAACCACAGTGGAAAAAGCCACAGTCCTGGTCCAACAAGAAGACAACATAAGAAACAAGACAGGTGATCATTTCTGCAACAAAAGGCCAAAGAAAACCCAGTCTGACAGACAGGAAACAGGATTTCTGAGGATTCCCAAAGAGCTGCTGCTTCCCAAATTCCCAAAGAGCTGCTGCTGGATTTTTTCAGAGTCCTGAAAACATCTGAGGAAACTGGACCAGTGGAGGACACAAGAACAAGAGCTGGGTCTAAAAACTCTGTAATCCAGCAGATGAAGGAAACAGGGAGGAAAGGCATCTCTCTGACAGAGGAACCAGAAGTGGACTGAACCCCAGCAGCTCTGATGGAGGGATGGATCCTCCAGAGCCGCAGCTCAACATTATGAAGCAGTGTGGGATTATCTGACAGAGAACGGAGCCAAAGGCAGCAGCAGCATCCAGAGAAGAGCTTTGGGACGTCCTTCAAGAAGCTGGAGAGCTGCTCCTGGAGACTCCTCCCAGAGAGGAGCTGCTCGAGAGACTTCAGGCTGAGCTCTGACTACCAAACCGATGTGAACAGTTTTCTCCTAGTGGCTGTTTACAGGCTCCAGACTTTGAGTAAACAAATGTGGGCTGATATGATGACGATAGCTTGACAGCAATGTCATGTCTGGTCTTGTCAGCTCAAAGAGTTTAAATGTAATGCCGACATAGCTGGAAAGCTGCTTTAAAGCCAGTGCTGCTGCAGACAGCAGAGAGCAGAGAGAATTCAGGACACGGCGTCACTTCTGCTCACAAACACTGGGGGCTTTTGTCCTGTTGTGACACGCCGTCAGCTGGCTTTCTATTTCTGGCAGCCAGGGTCTCTGTGGGTAGCTTTGAGGTCTCCGACAACTGAGGATGCAAAGCATTCAATTACATTTGTTATTCACATTTGGTCCTGCAAATTTTGAGGAATAAATAGACTTAATTAATCTGCTTCTGCTCAGTCTGTTCACATAATTCCTTCAGTCTTTTTGGACATTAGTTTGTTTGCATGCCAGAAATGTGTGACTGTGGATTTTTTGGAGGCTGCAGATGCTGCAGTTTCTTTCTCTCTGGAGGACTCATCGTGAGTGTCAGAGCTGAGCAAAACTGTCACCAAAAACAAAGTCTTATTATTCAGGCCTTTGGTAGAAGGGGCCCAATAATCCATCAGAATCAGGAGGGTGGGTTCAGTTTTCTGAGTCCACTCTGAGGCTTCTGCTCCTCTATTTTATTACTCTGTTCAGTTTCAGACTCATTAATTTATATTTTCACATTTTTTCTCCATGTTTTTGGCCCTCTGTCTATCTATCCAAAAGACAAATCCGAAAGTGAAAAAAGCTGCTGGATCACTTCTGTCTCTGTGGTTTGTCTCAGTTTTTGTTCCACAAATAACGATTACTGCATCGTTTCTGAAGCTGGATTTACTGAATTTTACCACCTGTTCGAGAGCAGATTATCTGCATTTCGTCCTGCTTCCGTAAAACCTTACAGGTGAGGAGGGGCGTGCTTTCCTTGTGTCTGGGACTTGGCTTAAGTCCTGACAGAGACTCCGCCAGACTCCTGTGGGAGTTTCTGGTGTCATTTCCCACCTCAGCTGACGGTGACGTAGCCCCGTACGCGCCACCGCTGTCAGGTTACTTCTCTTATATCAGCCCCCTTTCTGTCAAAAGCTCCGCTCCACGGCGCTTCCCGCCCACGACACGCCGCCGTGTGTCACACACACTCGCGGACAGATAGCTGTCATAACCCCCCCTCGCGACAGGCCGTTTTTTTTCCGCCGGGCGAAACTTAAAACTTCGCTCACGACGCTAACTTTGACGGCTGTTTGTCTGTTTTGACGTCGCGCAGCAACGCAGACAAACACAAACGCAGTTCGACGTCGACAGTTAAGCACCCAGTTCGAGTTAAAGCGCTTTAAAAGACGGCTAAACGTGAAAAAAACGGGGTCAACTCGCTGTTCCCCCCGTTCAGACTCACCCATCCGCATCCTCTCAGTCGACGCTCTGCCAGTTTCTGTCTTTGCGCGCTCCCGCGCGGAGAGACGTTGGGCTGCGCGTGCACTCAGTCGAACCTGCTAGCTTGATCAACAGGTAGGCTAACACAAAAAAATAAATAAATAAAACACTAAAAATGGCGTTTTTTCCTCTTTTGAATTAACTCATGGCGCGTTAAGGGCCTCGTTTATTCAGTCGTTACAAAACACAAAAAACACTGAGTCCTGAAACAATTATATCGACCTTGTTTTGTTTTAAAGTGTTTATTCCTTAATTTTACAAACGTTATTTGCACAAATGTTGATCAAGTTTTTTATTTTTTATTTTAAAGTAGATTGATTGTTTTTTGGGGAGATTAAATGTAAAAAACTAATGTATGTATTTTATTCAAAACTGTTGATGTGATATATCAAGAGTTAATAAAGATCCCATTACTAGAAACGAGTGGGAATATTATCATTTCTTTGGACATGTGCCACATAAAAAAAAGGTTCAAACTAACCAATTAATTATATTTTTAAGGTTGCTAGATACTCTACTTGGAGCTACATCATTAAACACACTAAATAGGTAATAATACATGTGAAAAGATAATATTTTATTAATTAAAGTTTATCAGGTTCATCAGTGTGAGTTAAATATTCAGTTTTCTCTCTGCGGGCATCACAGAGACGGGTTTCTTTGGGTATTAACTATCTAATAATGCTAATATAACAGCAGACACCTTCACTGTTAAACACAATCACCTTTATTTCTGCCTCTGAAAAGGATCTTTTAAGGAAACCCTGATGTGAGCATGACTTTGCTCTTCTAGGTTTCTGAGTCACCGTACGTTCCTGCATCCAATGTTAAACCTGTTCCAATCAATACTTTTGAGCGGGACTTTATTTATGAGGAAACTTTGAAATATGACTGTTAGGAAGTGTGAAACTTCCAGTGTATCCTCTTTGTGACTCAGCTGTATCCTTTTTAATGTGTCCGTCAGCATGAAACTCAGCTCGATCTGTGCTACTTTGTGTTGTTACAGAACACTTTCTGTCCACACACATTTTTTCTGACTCATAAGCCCACATTGAACATGTTCTGTGGATAGTTTTTCTCAGTAAAGAAACAGATTGATATTTTTCGGACTGTGTTGCAAATGTCCGAGAGCTACATGAGACATGCTGGTGCTTTGACTCCACACTTGATCAAAGTGGGTTATTTTTGTCACAGAAATATTGTAAAAGTAAAGAATGAACCCTTTTTGATTTTAGTGTTTTATACATCATCAGGATCAGAAAAGAGCCCGGTTTTAGTTTAAAGTCTTAAGTATTAGGATGAGAAGGGGAGGATAATCGACTCCACGTAAGGTGTAAAATCTGATCTGAGATCAGATCTCATTCCTGATGCTCAGGTGTTTCTGTTTTAAACTGAGTTTTTCTGTGAATTTGAGGCCATTTTTCTGCTTTAAACTGTGATTTTGTGTGAGTTTGAGACCATTTTTCTGCTTTAAACCTCTATTAGAACCCAGTTGTGGTTCTAATAGCGGCGTCTTCCCGCTTCTGGTTCTGATGGAGGATTTCCTTCTTCTGGGTTCGTGTTAATTTCTAACTGTAAATTTTCCTGGTCACCCTTCTGTATGTCCCTCTGAGGCCTCAATGCCGCCAGTTTACCTGTTAACTGTCAACAGACCTGCCGTGCGAACAGCTTCCTGACTGTCCTGCTGGTTTCTTGGCAGGAGAACAGCTGCAGGTTTTGGGGCCTAAAACAGTCCTACTGTTAGAAAAGACCTGGTTTTTGGCCCCGCTTTCCCTAAACATTCTAGATGTCACAGTGCAGAAAATCGGGTGTTTTTTATCTGTTTGATGTCAATTTCTACCTAAGTCTTCATGAAATGCTGTTGACCTGGACCCTGATTTGATTAAGTTCAGTTTGCACTAAGTTTATGGAAATAATCTAATACACACAGGAATGATGGGGCTTTTTTCTAAATGTGAGTCCAGGAAACAAAAGGCCTTAATCCTGTTTGCTCTGGGGGTTTATTGTGGTGTCAGAGGTTTGTGGCAAGGCCCTGATAATCCGAGTTTTTAGAGTTTCCAGCTGATATGATTGTTTGAATCGTCGCTGGAGGGGAAAAACCGGGATCAGCTGATCCAGGAACAGTACTTTCAGGCCGAGTTATTTGCAGGTTTCTGTCACCTAAACACACCAGTATGGAGGCCATGAAGGGTCAACACAAGGAGGGGGGGGCTTCTCCCAGCAAGACAGAGGTCACACTGCCCAGTTCTGATAGAGGTGTCTTCTTGGTTCTGGTTCTAGTTTTGATGGAGGGCTCTTCCTGGTTCCGGCTTTGATGGAGGTTTGTTCCTGGTTCTGATGGAGGTCTATCTGGTTCTGGTTCTGATGGAACTTTTTCTTCCTTGTTATATTTCTTATGGAGCTTTGTTCCTGGTTCTGGAGGAGGTCTCTTCCCGGTTCTGGTTCTAATGGAGGTTTGTTCCTGGTTCTGATGGAGGTTTCCTCCTGGTTCTGACTCTAAAAGAGGTTTCCTCCTGGTTCTGGTTCTGATTGAAATGTTTCGTCATGGTTCTAGTTCTGCAAGAGGCCTCTTCCAGGTTCGGGTTTTGAAGGAGCTTTGTTCCTGGTTCTGGTTCTAATGGAGTCTTGTTCCTGTTTCTGATGGAGGTTTATTACTGGTTCTGGTTCTCAAGGAGGTTTCTTCCTGGTTCTGGTTCTAAAGGAGGTCTCCTCCTGGTTCTAGTTCTATTGGAAGTTCTTCTTCCTGGTTCTGGTTCTAATGGAGGCCTCTTCCCAGTTCTGGTTCTGGCTCACATCCAATAGAGCTTTGAGATTTCCTTTCGGTGAGAACCGTCTGATTCAGAGGTGGAAACACAGCAGCATCAAGGCTCCTTTGAGTAAAGTGGAGGAACCAGCCGGTCCTGCTGGGGGGGGGCGAGCTGGTCTTGCTTTGGGGGCGGAGCCAGTCCGGCCGTGAAGGGGGGGCGGAGCCAGCCAGGCCCACCTGCTGTGAAAAGCCGCCTCCCGCCTTCCTGGCAACCAGGAGAGCTCAGAGGGACACCATGCTCGGCCCAGAGAGCAGGCCGGCCACAGCAAGCCCACAGACCTGACCTGGATCCAGAGCCTTCAGACCTGACCTGGATCCAGAGCCCTCAGACCTGACCCTGATCCAGGCCTGTCACCTGAACTGGATCCAAGCCTCCAGTTGTCAGTCCTGAGCTGGATCCAGAGCCCTCTGACCTTATCCGGATCCAGGCCTCTGTCCTGAGCCGGATCCAGGCCTCCATCCCTCAGACCTGAGCCGGATCCAG